CCTCACCTCCCAACCCCACCACTCTCAGCTCCTCCCCCGCTCCTCCATCTTCCGCAACTGCTCCCCCTCCCAAACGACCATCCTCACCACCACCGCCTCCTCCGCCCTACAAATCACAAAATCCATGACATCCCCCACAAGATTCACCTCTTCAAACCCCTACGTCCGCGCCTTCTGGCCATCCTCCTCCCTAACCCCCCCTCCTCCCCCTCCTCACCCACCTCACCCTGGCTCTCCTACGGCCGCCAATACTTCGCCCGCATGGGCTCCAAACTGCGCATCGGCAGCTCTAACCCAGACCAGCTAATTTTCGACTGTAAGCCGGAGGAGGGAGAGTGCTGGCCTGGCGCGGTGGCGTTCACGGTGGCGGAGGAGAATCGGATGGGGTTCTGTCCGGTGTTTTTTGAGGGGTTCATCGATGCGGGGGATTTGCCGTGTCAAGATGGGGAGGGGTTGGGGTGGTATGATGCGAGAGGTAGGCCCCCTCTGTCTATGTGTTGATTCTGATTGTGAGGTTGGTTGGGTTGGGCTAATGATCGTTTGCGCGGCGGGGTGTAGAGCGCGCGCTCGTTCACGAACTCACGCATACGTTTATTGCGCCGCAGAGTCCGGATGGGAAATATCATTCCTTCCCGATGTATGAAGGCCCGTGAGTTTTCTCCTATCCCCTGCCTCCTGTTCCCTTGCCCAAATGGCAGCTTCGCTGACGCCCCCCTCCCCTCTAGAACTCAAGACGTTTCCCTTCCCAGCGGCGGGGGTGCTTACGGTCCCGACAACGCCGCCAAACTCGCCGCCGGTAAGTTTCCCGGTTTGAAACCCGAACTTGCGAGGGTGAATGCGGATAATTGGGCTCTGATCGCTTGGGGTGAGTGCATTTGCAGACTTCTCTACCTAGTTGTGTAAAGGCGGTGAGGGGCGAATGCTGATGTCGTGCTTGTGAACAGGAAATTACATTCACGACACGTGCGTAGCCAAGACGAAGAATCCGAACTTCAGGGTGCCGCCGACGTGAGGGGAGAATGGGGTGGGGCTCGATGAACGCAGGGCGTCGGCAGCGGTATAACTTCTTTTTCCATTGTAAAATATGTGTTTGCCGGGTTTGTGATTGGGGTGGTGAGCATTGGTGCTGATGACAAGTGACAAGGCCCTGTCACTTACGTTGGACGAGATGGGTTCAGAAATATATTTCTCGATAGCCCTGGTGGCTTTCAATTCTACTATAAATGATACATCAAGACCCTTGAGAAGGTGGACTTGAGATGCGGATCCTAGTGACCAGACGCAGCGTATTTAGAATACCCTCCAACGCATGCAATGCATCAGACTCAAATGATAGAGTACTCCGACTCTATAGCTGCACCATGTCCGAGAAGTGCCTGTGGAATGACTGGTAGTCATTGGGTAGCTCTTCTTGTCGCTCGCGCACAATATCCCACGAGATAACGACTGCGTCGGATACAGTGCAGGGAAGGTTCCATTTGGGAGGTGCTCAAACTCAGTCTCCTTCCAGGCATTCCCAATACATTTGATTCGAGCCAAACATTAGACATCGAGGAGACAAAAGCTTCTCCTGGAGAGTCCAGGCTCTTGTCTGCCAAGGGGGAAGGATCTCATCATCAAGGGAGTCACATTTTGGCTCAAGACAAGATACCAAGCTGACGCTATTCACTCTTGTCACAATTTGTCTCCCCAGCCTTGTAGTGGACCTAGTCTCCGATAGTCTTTCCCGGGCACCGTTCTTGCTATTTGCGATGATTGTGAACAGCGACGCAGCATAGGTTGAGCCCATACGTGGAATGTACCGCTGTTTATCGTCTTCATCGTCTTGAACAATGCAAAGAAGATCAACCTAGAGAAAGCGCTCTCCCAGTCTGCTTAGTAGTTCTATAGCATCTATCACCGTTCGGGGAAGGTGTAGCCCCTGTAGAAAGTTGGTCTCGGAAGCTCGAGCGACACGGCTTGACGTCAGACCATCTTGGGCATCGGTATCACCCCTGGCCCAGCTGAGAGTAACGTAAGGGGGTACTGTATCATTGTCCCAGCTTTTGAACTCGACGACAGCTTGATCTTGAACCTCTACAAGCCTGACTGTAACCATTGCTTTTTGTAACCATCGCTTCCGGCGTTTCAGACGGAACGAAACAAGCGCTAGCATGTCCAAAGATACAATTGTCGAGCCACTTGCGAATAAGACGCGTATCACAAGCCTCTGCTCTTATAGGCGGAGTTGATGAAGTAAGACGCGGGCGCTTGGGAGGCAACCGCTTTCCCAAAGTTGCTGAAATGCGCTTGTTCCAGTGTAGTCGAGTGTCCGACTCGTAGGCTGGCAATGCGGTAGCTGAAGCCTGAAAGGCGTCTTCAACTTGCAAATGAGATTTTCCAGATCCTGAAGACGTCTTTGAAGGGATATCCAAGTTGACGGCCATCGAGAATAGCCATGGGCGAAATGACCCATTTCATGTCTATAATCGTGTGGCTGACGTTGTAGTGGGCATGTGACCTCTTTAATCAAAGTGCTGGGTGTCTTGAGTATGGGTTTTTCGACGCTGGCTCTTGGCACCAGCGATACCACTGTATTGGAAAGTCCACAGCTCTTCCTCCGTACACGCAACTTCATCCACAGCCCAAGCTGCACGGACCAACGTTTGTAGTTGCATTAGGCGATGTCTTTTGCAGCAGCAGACAAGAAGCTCCCAACATCTGCAGGGTTGCATACTTCACACAGACCATATACCTCCATGATCTGGTAGGCACGTATGCAGCCAATCGGAGCTCGAATCAATCGACGAGCGCCTCAAGCGGGCTTGATGACTCTTCAATGACTTCCAAAGGCTGTCTCTTATTCTCCAAGCTTTTTCATCGACCAAAGTCTTCCTGGTATGATCAAGAGTGCTTCTTTTGGTGTAGATGCATTTGGATAGCAAGCAGTTTGGAGGGTGAGCTTTAGAGGGAATTCACAAGAAGTGAGGTTTCGGTGACTACTGGCGAGTCAGCATATGCGGCCAGCATGCGCATTTTGTCGACGCAAGCATACACTAGCCATCTCTGTCAACTTGCTGCTCATGGAGAGACACTGAAACGTTTGACCACGTTGTTCGCCTTCAGAATTGTGAAGTGCGTTTGTATGATAGAGACCCAGACCATTGCTCGTCAACCTTCGCTTTTGCGTGCTGTGGAAAGACTCGGATCCCCGGGGTTGGGCTGTGCGCAAGCCATGAGGCCTGCGGTCTCCTCCGAGATGGAGGGAGCTATGATTGGAGCTGAGAGATTCGTAGAGAGGGCTGCTCATGCCAAAATAATCCGCAAGCCAGATAGAGATGCTGTAGCCGCCGGCTTTGATGGACGAAAGATCATCGGTGCTTGCAACATCACGGACGCTCCTCCGGGGATGAAGATCTTGGTTCTAATTCCGATTAAATCCGACTTGGCGCCAAGCAATCAGCATGCCTTCGATGTCAGATAATTCCCAAAACAATGAACTCCGGTCCATTCAGCAGAAGTTCTTGATCGTTGATAGAGCATGGCATATATTTCAAGCTGCTTTGCCAATAACAATAGTAGCTTTTTCGATGTGGAAACTACGAGCAAGGGATGAGCGTAACGCTCAGAGGGTTTCCTGTAAGTTCCTCAGTTGCGAGCACAATCTAGAACGAAATGCAGCACCATGTCTGACAGAGCGGCCGTCCTCCAGCTCATCGCTTCCTTCCAAAGCGCTTCGTCAACCACATTCGCGAAAGGGTAGCCCAGTGATCAGACATGGCATTCCTTGTCGCAAAGAGACTTGATCGCTTGTTACGACACGACTACCCTCCACAAGTTTGATTGTCTACGCTATCAATGACGAATGCGCAAACTTTAGGTCTGCAAGAAAGAGGTAGACTTTGCTGGCGCGATCTTGGAGCGTGGGATACAAATAAATGTTGCTTTCAAGCTCAGAGCAATCTATACGTCACGGCCCATCGTACATCAGCAATAAGACCTTAAGAACTACTTCCTACAAGGACTGGTGTACGTTCTCGCAAGTCTTTCGAAACTCAACCTGCATGGATTGCTCGACCCAGGACCTCCATTCAGCAACCAACCAAGGAGCCAAGACAGGACCGCGCTGAAAGAGGGGAGTTTTGAGTCGACGTTGGAGGCCAGTATGATCTGTGCTGGACCAACACTGAAGTACATCACCTTCAATATCATGAGGCTGTTTCATGGCAGCCTCAAGGTTCCCCGGGGTTTCAGGCCAGATGATTTTTCAAGCGTTCCCTGGCCTGGCCGTCGGACCTTCGCCCTCGTTGGTGCGGCAGGAAGTAGGACGGGTGAGTCGACGCTAATGACGTACTGAAACCTCTAGTATCCCATGCCTTCCTCCCGAAACGGTCGATTCGGGATCAACCTTGGACACCCGGTTGCAGGGAGATTCGGAGTAGCAGGTCCTTGTGTCATATGGATACTGTGGTCGAATCGGCTTCGGAGGGTCTGCTCTTGCGGCCAACTTGCCCGTACATTCACAGCTACATTTTTCGATAGCACCCAGTCGGCCTATCATCCTCCGACCGGGAGGCATGTCATCTACTAGCTCCTTGCTCTTGCAGCCTGAAAGTTTCCACTTACCGCCAAGTGTCTCGTTAGATGGATCGAGATCTACATAAGGGGTAATTATGAATCTATCATCTGGTTGACATCCAGCCGCCTTTACCCAATTCGGCTCGAAGGTTAGCGAATCCCCCGAAACAAGAAACTTTGGTTCCTCGTAATGCAGGGAGGACGGTGCGTTTCCCCACCAAATTACGGCTTACCTGTATCGGATTTTTCGTCACCCGCATCTAAGGGATCTATAAAGCTATCATTAGAGCTTCCCCCTGTTTACGTCTCACTCTGCCACGGAAACGCGTCGATGCATAACGATCTTTAAGTCGAATGATTCCAAGTTCGGGCGGTTTTGGATACCATAATTGGTCTTTACAGCTCACTGCATCTGCACTCAGCGTTCCGACATCAATACTACCATGGCAATGCTCCATCACGCAGCCGCCGGCAACAAATGTACGAACAGCCGCGGCGGGATCGGTAACGCCGTTCTCTTATTACATCCCATACGGTACGCAGCAAGCTTGCGACATTTACGGTCTGACCTGCCAGGCGGGCTCAATTACTGTCAATGTCAGTGTTGATGCCTGCCAGTCATCAACCACGACCTTGGCTTGCTCTTCATATTTAGCAAGCCAAGCAGAGTACCTCAGATCATTTGACTTCACTGCAAACGCTTCGCATCCTTTACCAGCAGAATGGCAGCAGGGCTTCGGGCGAAGTCCACAATGCTCATCGTATTCCTCCGCCAGTGAAGCTGCCTCCGGTTCGAATCATCTTCCGTTGTCTTTATGTCCCAATGAGCAATCAACACCTCAAGGCGGGACTTTCCAAGGACTCCCACTCGAAATACCGCCTGTGTATCCCCCAGGCCACGACAAAAGCCACGAAATCACGGGCATAGAATGTTGTGGAGACTGCTATTTCCACGTACCACGAGTGCAAGTATACTACTTCCCAGTCCCTACCGGACAGGCATACTGCAAGTCAGTCGGTCGCCAATACGGCTCCGTCTCAGACTTGAGCACATGGCGCGCATTGCCAGACTTCACATCCCTTGACGATACCGACGCATCAGCCTACCAAGGGAGCACTGTCGTCAATGGACACACTCTGTAAGTACCTTAGTCCAACCAAACCCCCAATACCAACGGAGATTGCAGAGTCGCACCATCAGTCTACATGCAAGTCGAAGGCTCCATGATCGTCAACGACAAATGCGGCTCCGTAGGCACCACTCTAACATCCCCTTTATTCTCCTTCGCTGCCGAGGACATCTCCACCTTCGTTCTTCCTCCAGTCACAAGCCCACGACCCGACGGCTCCGATCCTGTCCCCCTGCTAACAGGACAATCCCAACTCAACGTCGCAGACCTCGCATGCCCCTCAACAGGCGTCGCGCAAGTATCTGTCCCGGACTTGGGCTTAGGCGCAGGTCCGCATACATATTACTACGGATCACCCTGGTTGCCATTCATCGCCCCGCCTTCGAAGATCTTATCCTCCGATCCTTCTTGGTCGACAGGTTGTGCGCATGTCGTGAAATTTGGACCGGCTGAGTACGTAGGCTTGTTCGATCCACCTATTGCATTGGTTCCGCAGCAGAACATTGTCAACCCTGTGACTGCTGCGGCTGCTGCTGGTGCTACGGGTTCTCCAACACATCCTGGCCAGTCGATTGTGGCCGCTGTGCCAAAGATTACGGCTGTTGCGGCTGCTCACGTACAGGAGCCTCCTGCTGAGAACACTGGGATCGTGAATCCTGGCAAGAATGATCCTGGAAGCAAAGACACCAGCAGTGGTAATAATGACCCTAAGAGTACGAGCAGCGATAGGAGTGGCAATGCGGGTAATGGTAACGGCGACACTGGAAGCAAAGATACCAAGAATGATGGGGAGGGCCATCAACCAGCTGGCGGTGATACCAACAATGCCAAAGCAGACAAAGTTCCGAACAAAAGCAGTAGTGTTGCCGGTAACGGCAGTGGGGACTCCAACGGTGCGGGCAGCAAGAATCCTGGTAGCCAAGATTCTGGCAGCAAAAGTACTGGCAGCGAGCGCAATGGAAACGCAGGGAAAGATGGGAACACTGACGATAGCGGTACTGGCAGCGGAAGTACCGGAAGCCAGGAGACTGCGAACGGCTCAGGTAGCGACAAAGCAGCTAGTGGCAATCCCGGTAGCGGTGGCTCTGTCCGCAGTAGTACTCATGCTGCCCATACAGGTGCTGCCAAAAAAGGTAGTGACAATAATAGCTCTGGGAGCAAGAACGTAGGTGGCCAGAGTTCTGCTTCAAGCCCAAACACCGGCAAGGACGGTAGCTCTAGTGGTAGTGGTGGAGGCAATACTGAGAACAAAGACGCTGCAAGACTAGGGACCGCGGGCGCACAGACTAGCAATACGGATGCTGGCGGTGACGACAAAAGCACGGACATCAATAGCGTGCAGGGCAATAACGTACCAGCAAGTGGCGCCAATGATCAAGGTGCCAAAGCTGGCGGTGTAAACAACAGCAATGACGTAGTCCAGTCTAAGGACCATAGCGCATCCCAATCCATTTCACAATCTTCTGGTACTACTGGCACGAATGAGAACTCGACGGACTCATTAGGGATGGACTCATCAGGGATGAACACAAGCTCTGATAACGTACCAAATGCCAGCACCGAGGGCAAAAACAAGCAAAACACCAAAGCCAGCGCCTTCGCAGATCAATTCTTTAGTCCTTACGAGTCTGGCGGGAAGTCTCAATTGGCCGGCACATCAAAGAATCAGCCCACGAAGGAGAATACTCATGGTTCCAAACAGCTTGACTACAACCCTTCATCACTAGGTGGAAAGGCGGCGGGGTCCTCAAATGATGTATCAAGCGGACAGGAAGGAGACAGAGAAAGCCCTGCGTTCAATTCATCGGAGACGGCAAGTCCCATAAATTCGGATTCAAAGGGGTCTGATGGTTCCGGAAGTGTTCAAGCAAACAATACTGGGTCTTCTGCTGGTCCAAATGGTACCATACTCTCTGGCAATGGCCCTCCGAACAGTACAGATACAGGATCAGCACAACCAAGCGGCTCGGCTGGACCAGGGAATGCTTCTACCTCAACTGTGGCTTTCATGGGTGTTGGCGACAGAGTGGTGACTAGCCAGACTTTGTCATGGACCTTGATTTTCTTAAGCATAATTCATATCCTACAATTCACACCTTAATATATTACATTTAACCATAATCAACTCTCCAACATTGTCTGATTCTAGTGCAGCTTCCTCGTCTTCGAATGCGCCTCTTTACCATCCGCGGAGCAAAACCTACACAGAAGAGCTCAATATTCGAACCAGTATCCACATTGTCCAAATCAGGAACATCAGTGGAGCTCTACCCCTGGGGCGGCGCTACCACCTCGACGCCCCTTTATTTGTCTCCGTACCCGGGTCTTCGCCGCTTGGAACTTACCGTAAACAATGCAAGAGCGCCGTATACCAGCTGGATCTTGTACACGAGGGCTGCGTGAGGTCGCAACCCGATTTAAACTGGCTTCGGGATGAAAAGCCTTAAATATTTGAACTAGTAAAAGCAATTGTCAAATACACTTGAGGCCTTCGCCGGAGCTCCAGCCCGGCTAGGGGAACTATACTTATCTACTGCAGCAAGTGAAACCCTCTCTTATCTAACGTGGCACTTTCCACCCCAAGGTCGCCATTTGATTTGTCCCTTGAGGCGCTCGACTAGGAGTGGGCCCAAGAAGAGCGGTGGGCGCGCCAGTGGATCCAATGGCGTTCGAAGAAAGCTAAATGGTGGAAGTGGCAATGCTTAAGGCCATATTCGTCTAAACTCAATTGCGACCGCGCACAAATCCGCCGATACTACTGGCTGTCTAGCGATGCGAATCGCTAAGAGCTCCTCCTTTGGCTTGCTCCAAGTCCAAAACATTAGCAAATGAAGGACTGGGATCGATGCACAAGCCCCACAGGACCACCCATTAGGCCAAGAACCCTTGGCTGTGTGGCTACGAAAGGGCTCAGTGAAGACAAGGGCGCGTCCCATTCGTCAACGACTCATTACCAGGACCAGCTGCTTAAACATGGCTTGAGAAAGGGTACACAGTATCACGTGTGAGCGATGACAATCAAAAGCTGGTGTATCGCCTTTCGCATTTCAACTTCTTTGAATCCTGATCTATCAACTTCTTTGAAACCTGATCTATAGCATAGACTCACTACATTCTTCCACCACAGGGACTTTCACCTTTCACAAATATAGAACCACTTCTCATCATGCGTTTCTCAACAGTTGTCCTTGCCCTAGCGGCAGCTGTCCCGTCAGTCTTGGCCGCAGCTCCCTTCCCCATTGGCGGCGAGATTGCTCAAATCACTAATTCCAATGGAGACGTCATCATGTACTATCAAGGCAGAGACGGCGACATCCGCCAGCGTGCCGGTAACGGCCCCATTATGGCAAAAGACCAATACAAAAACACCCAAGTTATTCCGAAAGGCAAGGCAAGGGCCAACACTCCCATTGCAGCCATTGCATATCAAGGCGATATCACAAATGTACGTATGATACACACCTGATGCTGACAAAAGACTATCCCCAAGAATTTTGGAGCTTCCACAGCGCTGATGTTCTCCTCAGACGCGCATTTACTTCATCGACAACAACAACTTTCTCAATGAGATTGTTCAGCAGAACGGCAAAGTCACAAACACATGGAGTTTGGGCTACGGCAATGTTCAGAACTCCAAGGCATTGGCGGCTACCACCGACGGCAAGGGGAGAATCATGGTTACCTTCGTCCGCACTGAGAATGAGCTCAGCATGGCCCACTATGAGGGATCGTGGAGCTGGAACGACTACTAGATACATCGAACACCAGTATCTCTGTGGAGTCAGCTATGAGACCAATAGATTGATTGCCCCGACTCTGCCGTAGATTCTTGATATGTCGAGTCAAGGGGAGTGGGGAGGAACTTGCGAAAATAGCTGAAGGGCCGTAAAATTTGCGACAGGTGCTTTTCAGCTATTACATTACATCAACACACAAATAATAATAATTGTTTGCAACCCAGACTTGAAAGCTCATCATAGTTAGTAACCAGATATGCTCTGCTTCAATTGAAGATCATCAAATCATAGCAATTGCTTCTACATTTGGAAATAGACCAGCCCCAAATAAGAGTGCTCATTTTGGAAATGTCAGTCCTGATACTAACAACCATTCGCGAAGTATCTTGCCCAGAAAACCTTGCCTTCACATGAAAGAACAATGGTCAGCGAACGGATCAAGCGAAGCACTGCTGTGGCTGTCGCAAGTGACGTCCTTACACGACCCTAATAGTCGCAGTTGTTCAAGGCTTACGTATTTCATGTGGAAAACGTTCAAGTCTGCCATCCCCATTGAACAGTCAGGGATCAAACACCATTGCCGAACTCCACCCTTGGCTTGGGCATATGATCCTATTACGACGCTTCATCAATTCGCTCATATGCTTAAAGTATTTCTTCATTCTTTGCGTGGGCCTCAGCACATCTGTCCTTGTACTGCATCGCCTTCAAAAGTACAGTAGTATGAATACTTCTTTAATCAATGAGCAGTTTTCCAACAAAAGGCCAAAAGAAATGGTTATCATACGCCATGGGCCACGAATCATCATCAGAATCACGTTCCACTACGATGGACGACGGCGAGCACAGGGCCTTCAATTCTGCACCGGCCGTAGCGACTATGACGTCATCGCCCACAACCACAAATCCCGAGGGCGACGAAAACCCCCAAAATCCATAGATTCTGCCCCAGTATATCTCACAATGACTCTCAAAACCCTCCCTGGCCATCCTTCCCCGGGTCCCGCGACCAACGCCTCCTCCTCCTCCTTCTCCCCACCCCACCACTTCACCGTCCGCGGCGGCCACGGATTCGCTTTCGAAGTTCACCCAGGCACCTCCTTCCGCATCATCGATCTGCACGGGCGGCAAATCGTCGACATGATGGCCTGGGTGCTGCCTTCCCCCTCCTCCCCCTCCTCCCCTTCCCCTTCCCATTCCTCCCTTTCCCCCCCACCCTCCCCCACCACCACCCCCAGCGCACCCTACAACACAACCCACGAACACCTCTCCATGTCCTACACGCGCTACGCACTCGGCGGCAGCGCACCCCCCGCCATCGGCGACGCGCTCATCACGAACAAAGGCGAGGCGATCTTTAAGCTGGTGGGGGATACGTGCCATACGCATGACTTGACGTTTATGGCTTGTAATCCGGCTTTTTATAAGGAGAAGGGGGGGAGGGGTTGGAAAGGCATAGGAATTGCGCGGAGAATATTTGGGAGGTTATGGGGGCGTGGGGGATGGAAAACGTGTTGGAGGTGACGGCGGTGGATCCGTTCAATGTCTTTCAGAATACGCCCGATATGACGCTCAAGGATCTCGGGTGTAGTCGGCCCGGGGATTTTGTGGAGTTTGAGGTGCTGAAGAAGGCGGTGGTTGGGGTTAGTAGTTGTCCTTATGATGTGGTAGGTTTTGTCTTGGGTTTTTTGGTCATTTGTGGGTGGGGATGTGCTGACGTGAGGTGCGTGGGTGTAGGACGGGTTTGGGGGTGGGAAAGCGACCGATGTTGAGATTGTTACTGGGCTGAAGTTGGGGGATTGATGTGTGAGAGGGGATGGGGTTTGAGTGCGCTGGTTTGATAAGGGGGTAGATGTGTGTGGATGACTGATTGTGCGATGGACGAGCAATGCGAGTTGGAAGGTGGCGTGTTATGGTGTGGATGCAAGATGAAAGGCTACGCAAGTCATCAACCATTAGAAGCCCGATGGGGGGATCTTGATAAGATACTTGAAAGCGTGCATGTGAGGTCGTAAGAGCACGTACGCCATCCTGATGTCTACGTCGATCCGTCCTTATGTATAGGGAACGAGCTTCCCACTCTCTGAAGCGAAGCTTCATATCCCTTACACTTGCTGTGCTGCCTTCTCAGTCCAATTAGGTGCACTCACCACCTGTGCCAGAAACCCTTTTGATGACAATGCATGCGGCGTTGTTAGTTTTGAAGTCGGCAAAGCTCTGTGTGCCTCCTGATCAGATCGTCAATTTTTCTGCCCAGCATGTTGCCATGATACATATGGCTTTGATCCTGCCCATGGTGGAATGATGGCATGGACAACGAAGACATGTCATTCATGGTTACCTACTTCGATCGCATTGCGGACGTCTACATGACGAGCTCAAGTGTCTATGTCGTCTTTCATGTGGTAGTATTAACTCTATTGCTGCCGCAGGATTACGGAGATATAAAAGGGCACTTAAATATTGGAGAACAGGATGCCTAGAGACATTCCGCTAATGTGTGATGACGCTATGACGGCTTCTGTATTCGCTTCCCCTATTCCCGTTGATTCAAGCATGGTGGCTAAAAATAGGAAATGTCTAACAAATGCAAGTCGGCAAAATCCTTTGCAGTGCTTTTCAGCTAGACTCAAATGTTTCTTTGAGACTTTTGAATGTTCAAAGCGTCGATCATGAGTACTCGGTCCCTTCTTCGCTTCTGCGCAGGTGCACACGTCAATCTTGTGACCTCGACTAATTCCTGCCTTGACTACATGAGCCGAAATCGTTCAGTTGGGGTGATTATTTCCTTCCTTTGCAAACAAGATCGATTGAGATAAAGCAAAGATGATCTTCGCATACTATATACCGTATCTTTTCTTATGGTTCATGTTGAACTCCAATGTCTCGACGTTCCAGCTTCAGCGGCGATTCGACCCAAATATAAATGCCTTAATTCATCCGTTACCTCAGACAGAACAAGAGATCGATGAACACTTAGTCTGCACTGAAGGCCTAGGCAATGACGATCCTATAGATTGGCAGGACTGTTTCGCTGCTGCTCAAGATTACTCGGGGTTTACAGGTATCTCACCGGAGGTCTTACTCATCAATCGAGGTAGCGATTTGGCTCGTTCACCAGACCTGCAGGACAAACCTGGAGAGCAGTTGATAGCTCCTGTTGCCTTCTTCAGTGGCTCGACCTGCGCTTTGACTCTACTCATGATTGGCGACGAGAAGTTGACAGGAAAATCCGATGTCGTGGCTGCAGTCCAAAGCCTGAACAGTTCATGCAACGATAATGGGAGCACAGGGGGTGGCTTGAAAAGTCTATACGACGGCGCAGTGACAGTATACATAGGTGGAAAGAATTCGATTCTTGATTTGGCCCCCAAGGAAAATTGGACTGTGTGGCCAAGCTCGGGGCTATATCAAAAACCCAAACCCGTGGTCTGCACCCCTGCGGACATTGGGATCCAAAACATCACTGTCAATGATTGCCATGAAGCAGCGCTATTCCACAGCGCTGTTGTTCCTTCACGTCTATTAACACTTGTGGACCGGAAGTACCTCGAAAACCAGAACGATAGTACGCTATTTGCTCCATTGCTGTTTCACAGCGGGAGCTGCGGCCTTTAATCTCAGTACCGTCTCCGACGACTAGTGGCCAGAACCTTTTGAGGGAAGACCTTTTTGCAGCCGTGGACGAAGTCGCGTTCCAATGTACGATTTTGTACAGTGGTTATCCACCTGCAGCCGTCAGCCGTACTCTATTTGCAGGTGGCGAGAGGACTTTTTATGATGGAAGAGTTAGGGTAGAATTCGGAAGCAGCGTTCAGATGTTTTCACGGGCCCAGGAGAATGGCTGGTCGGTATATCCACTGTTCTGAATAGGTAGTTGACGATTTGTGACGGTGACGGTGACTATCGGATCTCACGTAAGCAGATCTCACGTAAGCAGCTTAGTCGTCAGAATTTCCCCCCTCCTTGACATTCCTTTTCCTCTTCGTTTGGCGACTACATCTCTCTAGATGTGCAAGATATTCAAAGTGCATTGCCACAAGATTTGAGCATGCATCTCATACTCACAGGCGCTACCGGCCTTGTCGGCTCCGGTGTCCTCCACCACATGCTCAACAACAACACGGTCACAACGGTTTCTATTCTCAGTCGGCGGCCTGTGCCTATGGCTGAAGGACACGAAAAGGCGAAAGTGATCATTCACAAAGACTTCAAGTCATTTCCCAGCGACCTCCTTGAACAGCTCAAGGGCGCCACGGGTTGTGTTTGGGCGCTTGGGGTCAATCAGAACGATGTTGACAAAGAGTAAGCAACGACTCTTCCAAGTCTAAGGGATAATTCCATTGAACAAACCGATCTCGTGAAGCTGAGCACAAACCTAGACTGTACCAAGAGATAACCGTCGACTACCCGATCGCGGCGGCAAAGGCATTCTCCACCCTTTCAGACCCCTTCACTTTCGTCTACGTATCCGGTATGCCATTCATCTCTCCAACCCTATCATTCTTGTACAACATTCAATTTTGCATACATAGCCCTTAAGACCTATCTCATCTCACTAACCCCCCATCTCAGGTGAAGGCGCCACAACAACTCCCTCGCGCCTAACCCCACACTTCGGCCGCGTCAAAGGCATCGCAGAATCCTCCCTCTTGGCTCTACCCAAAGATGCTCAATTCAGATCCTTGAACCCATACTCTGCTCGCCCCGGCGGTGTGGACGCTCAGATGCACCCCGAGATCCACAAGTACATGCCGAAGATGAAGGGTATGAAGAGTTTCTATGCGCCGCCGGTTTTTGTCGCCATGAGGACGCTGCTGCCGGGGCAGCTTAGTCCGACGAGGGAGTTGGGGAAGGTGTTGACGGAGTTGGCTATGAGGGATAGGGGAACGTTGGGGGTGGGGAAGGAGGGCGTGGAGGGCAAGGGCGTTAGTGGGGAGGGAAGGACGGTTGGTAATGCTTGGTTGAGGAGTGAGGCGGGTCTTTGAGAGAATGTTGTATGAGAATGGAGTCGGCTGGCTTTGGCTTGCTGCTCATAAAAATATTTCATTGTGCACTCACTTCTTACTGCGGCGTCACAAATGCGCTTCGGCTTGATCGAGCGATAATTTAGAATTCATTATGCTGACCTAGATTGCCGCAGAGCTCTTTCATAGGGTGATAAAGAAGACCGATCGGTTGCCCACTTCTTGAAAGCTGAATATAACATATCATACAAATCACGGTTATCTGCTCTTCAGGGGGTAGACTAGGAATGGAGATGTTTCATTCCTCTTTGTCCGACGTAAGAGTGCTGTACCACCTTCGGTAGAGATGTATTGTCGATAGACAAAGTGAGCTCAAACAATGCTTTGTTTGACACTTACTTACAACGACACAATCATCAGTGTCTGATACTTCTTCAAAAAGCCTGTCTTGAAACCCGTTTGAATGCAAGCATAACTTCTACGTTTCTATTCAGCTTTCGAAAGAAACGGCAAGACCTCAAGTTATCGCGCCCCTCCGGACTCAAGTTAATCTCCCTTCGAGTGTCGAAGGCGTACACGCCGGTCTTTGAGCGATATAACTTTCAGTGAACATCTGTTGAACAGTATTCTAACCTATTGAATGGCGACAATACGGCAATGAACGCTCAACAGCAGCACCCGAAGAAGAATATCAACTCTCTCCCACCAGAGCTTCATGCGAATATTGTGGAAGCCTTGATAGCGAATAACTCATCCGACGTGGCTACCCCAGAGCCTTTGCAAGACGTCTTCAATCTCTCCCTCGTCAGCAGATATTACAATAAGGTTGCAAACCCTGTGATCGAAAGAGCGCTTCAATCTATTCTTGACTCGAAGATCCACCCTCCTCCATGGACCGCCAAATTCGAAAACCAAAGACAAGCTCGGCTCCAGACGTCACCATCCTTCGATACCGAGAACATCGTCGGAGAGCTTGATAGATGGACCTATGATCAGTCAAGGCCTCCCTTTCACATCCCTCAAAGTCTTACAAATACGGACCTCGATCTTGTCAAAGACTTCTTCAAAGCCACCTCCCCTATCTCTTTTTCATCACATACCTCTCCTCGCTATGTTCGCTACCGCCAGAATTCCGCGCATGGGCCGTCCGGAAGACCTGCTGCGACTTTACACACTACGACCTCATCCAAGAGACAATTCCTCGCCACTTCCAAGATCCGGAATGGGCTTGGTATTCCAGTTTTCTATTGCGCGACCACTTTGCGCCATGGCGCTCCTTTCAGCCATCACAAGACTATGTCATGGCTGACTATTCGTATTGTCAAGGATGGGTCAAGGATGTGGAGGACGAAGTTTCTCTGACTGATGTTGATTATCTCTGGGTTGGAATCCTGGCTTGTCTTTTGAAATCTATGGATTTTGAGCTTATTGATCTTCAGGAGAGGCGTAGGATAGGCGAGTGTGTGATAAGGATTAGTATTAACGGACGGGAGCGAGATCGGCGTGAAGGTGGTGATGCAGCGGAGTAGTGTGTGCAGTGGTGGATATGGTGATGAAGATTCAACCGGGAATATCTTGGGCTTTCAGTCGGAGTGAGCCTTGCCGGTACTGCAGATTCCAGTGTATCCTTTCCTTTGTTTCCCGCCTTAATGTTACGTCGTTTGCCGTAGGGTTACATAAAGCTGTGCCGTACGTCAGCTTGACGAGAGCGCGCTCAGAGGTATTCCAGACACCGGCGGAAAGACTGTCAGCCATGAAATGTGAGAAACAATTTGGTCTCCGATGCGCACAATGACTCGCATTCCTTTCAGCAGTTTTAATTTTCATCAATCTGTGTAAGATGATATCATGCATTCGTGTAAAGACGGATATCGTCAATCGTCTGCCTGGCATTAGGCATTAGTGTTCTGTTAGGCATTCTATTCGACAAGTGTCATGTGCCGCTGCATGCAATCCTGCGGCGACGAGATGCTGCATGTCACTGCAGGCATCAGACCCAGTAGTTTTCCTCACGGCTTGCTCAAGTGAATCGTTGTGGAGAAGCTGTGTAGGTGCCGCGAGTATGCAATGCGAAGATTATGGCACATTTCGTGCATATGCAGTGAGACTCGGAGGATGTCGTTACTTGCAGATCATCTCGGAAATGACGCCGATGCAGAACGTGCATGCAGAGTTGATCCTTACTGTTTTGCGTGATGTGAATGACGCGTTCGACCATTTCTTGCTGCAGATAGATCGTTAATGTTTTCATTATCTTAGAAGTGGGCTCATGACTATCTTACCATACCATACATAACTCGATAATAGAACGAGACTAGAATGACCTTAGTTGCGCCATCTCACGAGGGGTTAGTTGTAAGTTTTGTAGAGTCGAACGTCCTTGCATTCTGCTGAGCATCTCCATAGATTTTGACATGGACTTTCACGGGCGCTTGTATCGTCTTCTCGATTGGCAGGTACATCATTCGGTACAAAAAGGTGGGGAGGTTCTGTCTGGACGACGTGGCGCATGCCGTCGCGCTTCTTGGACTAGTCGGGTTTGTAGGGACCTATGTCCAGATATTCCCTTACATCTTTCAACTCTGCGACTATCTCGATGGTAAACCTTTCAAGAAGAGCGGGCCAGACTATCAGACTGTTCTACAGCTTCGCGTCGCCGTTGCTATCTTGTTCTGGCTATGCATCTACGGCGTAAAATTCGCTTTCCTCTTTCTCTATCGAATGCTCTTCGTGGTATCAAATAGGAGTAGAAATGGAAAGATCTGGTGGTCTATCGCGGGTTTCACATCGATAACCTTCTTTGTCTGTGTCTTCGGAACATTGACAATGTGTGGTCCGGTGCGATACGTTGCAGATTCAGGTATGCTAGTTTACAGCACCTGGTCCTCGCTAACATACGACAGCCCATTGTGACTCGGTTAGAAGTGGGCGGGACTCCCTGACGGTGATTGAGTACACAACTACTCTGCATATCGTTTCAGACTTGATCAGTAAGCCGCAGACCACTGATCATCTTGGCGCACTAACATATCCTAGTCATGGCTTTTCCTTTGTTTGTCTTAAAAGATCTACGCATTAAGAAGCGTCAGAACGTCGGCTTGAGCTGCCTATTTTGTCTTGCTACTCTGATCGTTATCTTTGATGTTCTTCGAACAGCCTTCGCTGTCATACCCTCCGAGCATGGAGCTGTCATAATTCTAGCGACAACATGTGACATTCTCGAAGCTTCAGTTGCAGTAATAGTCTCTTCTCTACCAGTATATGGTACGCTACTTGTATCAAATCGCCCTCAAATCGCGAAAGGTCCCCACTGGCCCTCGAACAGTCGGCAAAAGATGCTCGAAAGCTCCACGATCATCAAGAAGTCAGCTGATCAGGACCCAGAGTACGACACGGCGCGACTTGAGTCTGATATCTAGAAACCAATGCGACTGTTTGTAAGATGGCAATCGTCGTGTAATTCTAACTCGAAGAACTTGTCGTCTTTTCCGCAGAAGACGGCATCAGGTGGGCGGCAGAATGATGAGACCTTTATTTTGGAACTGGGACTAGCTCAGAGCCTAAATGAAGTTACCACAAGGAATGATTACACCTTTAGTCTCACTTATCATGACGATGCAAGACGCACTGTGCCGCCCATTTCAGACGCTCGCACATCATGCAAGCATCGATCGACAAGGCATAAAGGTGAGTTCTTTGAATCTCTATAAGCTTAGAGTTTTACTGCAATGAACCATGACGACGTCGTAGTTGTCTTGAATTTTTGGAGTACGTGACGTCGAGATGCGGCACGGAGTCATTCCCAGTCAGACTTTCCTGCTTCATGCTGTTGACCAAACTTCGGTTGCCGCGACAAAGCACGAGGCAGTCATCTGCTCCACGTCATCGCTTCTAAAGCTCAGACCTGCTTGACCGTCATTGATTTACGTGAGGATGAACGATCGGAAGCTCAATCCGATGCGTTTCGATTGACGACGTAAGCTGGTCATGGCGTAATACGGAGCTACGGACCATGTAAAGTATACTGTTCGAAGCTGCTTGCCGTAATGTGCTGGAAATTTGGCCTCTCGATTACTTGGTAGTATGGCCAAGGTGCCATGTCGTCCGCAGGGAAGGTCATCCAGTCATTCAGCTGCCCTTTAAAGTATGCCTAGGCTTAGGAGCGCTTCCAACTGGCTATGCGCATGCAAGACTAGTCATGTTCGTCGCAATTGCTGCGGCTCATTCGCATTGATTCAGAAACTTCAGGCCTGATTTCCGGGATTTGTTTATTCTGGTGAGGGTGACAACAGGTGCATTCTGATAGACTCCGCCCGGCCGCATGGGAGTAGGGATGTTGACTGACATGACGACCACAGTGACGGCGATCGAACCTCATACAGAGGCAAATGGCATCGCTGCCATGTACACGAAGTTGACAGAAGTCTTGATACCGTACGAGAAGCTAGCCTCGGTTATTGCGCGAACAAGAGACGAGTTCCTACTGTGTTCTCCGCTATCTTGAGCGTAAAGATCTAATATTCTCAATGTCGATTTCTCGAGGTCATGCCTTATCATATCCGGAAAATTGGGTAGATCACGGACAAGCTCAAAATCCATTGTGTCCCATAACTTGAGATGTCGCAGATCAGGCGGAAGCCTTTGGAATAAGTCCATGGCTGGTAACCCTACACCAGGAACGAAATTTGCGTAGCAAATCTCGAGTGTTTGGACCGTGGATAGGCCCCTTAAATTCTGCATATTTTCTGGTGGTTGTTCATTTCCTTTCAAGAAAAGCTCTTCTAGGGATTGCGCGACATGCTGTAGAAGGATGGCGATTATCTCTGTCGAGCTGTAGCGCGGATCACGGTTCATTCCGTGGCACCACCATCTGAAGTTTTTGAGACGTGGCGCCGACCTGAGGATATCGTGAAGCCATGCGATTGGATTGACATCATCTTCGACGATCTCTCCTTGATCATCAAAGAAGAGCGTTGACAAACTGCTTCCATTTGCCATTGATGGTAATGACCAAGCTGGCGGAATCTCATCTTCTCCTGCTGGACCAATAACTCTCCGGGCATGAATGGTATGAACAGATGGGAAGGACATAAAGGCCTCAACGATCATATGCTGAATCTCGTTGTGGCGCAAAGGCCTCAACTTAACGATTTGAAGATTTGCAAGCGCTGATGAATTGTTACTGGCTATGCGACGTAAAATTGGAACCAGGAAATCGAGAGCGGAGCCCCAATCGTCATCAACTCTTAAATCTAGATAAGTAAGATTCGGGACGTTGCAGAGAAGAAGTGCTGTCGCGAATCGATCATCACCATGACAGATACTGTCAGCTGCTCGATTGACAATCTCGGCTCCGCTCTCGAGCTTCAGGCTCAATGTCTCAGCAATCTCGTTACGAATACGTAAGTCGGCAAGAGGTTGTCGGAACATGAGGGAATCTGCATGTGGTACAAGGGCTTTCAATCCCATGTTATGTTCCCCATCTGTGTTGCCCACCTCTAGACGAAGGTGCCTGATATAAAGCTTTGCTCTGGGAAGTAAAATCATCTCTCGTAAGCAAGGTAAAAGCAAAGTCACCTCGCTCGCAAAAGCCCGACAAATCTCAATGCTGTAGTAGAGACCCTGGAGCTCTCTATGCTTCTGCAATGCTCTTTCAGAGCTCCTGAGCGTATTTCTGCTTGAGACAGCAAAGCTGACGATGTCTGAAGGGCCGACAAACTCTGCGATAAGGCCGACGATCTCGGGAGGTAGCGCGGAAAACGACGCCATGAGTACAATTAGATTGTTTATTAGTACTATGTGAGAATTAAGAGCAGTAGATCGAGGGTGATATCGACGCTGCTGGGTAGCAAAGACATAAGATTGACGAGGCAGCAATGCGAGATTTAATTAGTCGATAAGCGCCCCCGGCGAAACGTACTGCCTAGCGCCTTGGCAGCTGAAAGCAGGCCACCAGCTGGAGGATGATTTGAGTCGTCCATCGTAGGGTTAGTAATCTGTCGGTATTGTAGATCGTGAAGCATGGGTGAAAGCATCAATTCCGCTTCTATAGGGGTGGTCGTTGGTGAGAGTGGGCGGTCTTATCTCATGGCCAAAGGTTGCCTTTTTACGTCCTGCTCAGGACATTTTTATTTTAAAAAAAACATGATCACCATACGTTATAAAAGAGAAAGAAGTACAGGGGATTGCTTTGCATCAGGCTTCAGGGGGCGATTGACGATTTTGGAGGTCAGAGTCTGCTTTTTGGGCTAGAATTCTGATTTTCACAGGCGGGAAAGTCTACTTACACTCTTGATATTGATTTTAGTCGTGAGAGGCATTAATGTAAGGTAGTTCGTCTGCATAGATAACACTCGGCAAAAACTTCAACGCTGAATCGCTCAGGTCCATTTTTGAAAAATAAACAAAAATTTGATCAGACCGAGACTTGAACTCGGGGCCTTTTCCGCTAAACGTCTGTTAAGGAAACGTGATAACCAATCTACACCATCCGACCATCGACTTCTACATTGGAATTTTTTTTTATTTATATACCTTTATTTTTTAATCAAAATGCGTTAGTGTTACTTGCCAATTCCTGACTGGTGATAATGAGGCACATTGGCGTCGGGAAACCAGCCGCATTACTAAGCTCGTCTGCCCTATGAGCCCTAAGCCGCGAATTTTCCAGCAACGGCCCAAGACGCAGAGGTGGTGACGTGTCCGCGTATTACAATTGATATGTAAAGATAGATAAGAAGCCTCATACAGACCGAATGTGATAAGAGTTGCCCTACAAGGTCAAATCGCTCTATATCTGGCCGTAAGCTGAGTGTGTTTTTGAGGTTCCTGGTTCCGTCAGCATCATGCAGATTGGGGTCCGGGAAATGTGCCGCACGGCACAATGCACCTAAACACTAGGCCCGTGATATCATGGAACATCATAAATTATCTAATCCTCCACTATCGATGGAAGGTTTCGAACAGCCCCAAAACTAGGCCCGCGATACCACATAGCATGCCCCAAAAACGACGCTGGGCTCAACCTTATAGCCACATGTTTCGAAACCCGAGGGGCCCGCCACATGCTGATCAGTAGATGAGATCAGTCTTGCAACGTCGATTCCCTTATTCAACGGAGGGTATCAGTAACCAATAACCCGCTATCAGCACTACTCACCCAATTTGAAACGCGTGAGCCTTTGTCATAGGGCAGGAACCTTGAATCTCGATACCTTGGAGGATTAGATGGCTGTCGTTGAATGGATTGCGTTTCCGACTCACACTACCTCCCTGCCTCACTACACAAGAATCTGACACCGAAATGAAGGACTTGTATTGCTTCTTCGCTTACCAGCATACTAGTATGTATGGGCAAAACCTTGACAAAAGAGGAGATCGCACGACATCGCCACCGGCAAGGGAAACTTTGTCAACAACTCGAAAGATATATAAAGAGCATACTGCTCGTCCTTCATATGTACTTGGACACACTCTACAGTTTCTATCAGACAAATCCAAACACCAGCCTGAACATTTCCGCTCCAGTTCTTTCACTTGCCCCAAACCCAACCACCCGCATATCCACTTCACCCTGCCTTCTCAAGCCTAAGCCTAAGCACAAAACCCAACAACAATGTACGCCTCATCGACCTTCACCTCCCTCCCCTTCGTACTCAGCCTCCTCACCACCCTCCTCACCCCCGCCACTTCTCTTGGCGTCAACTGCCGCGGATCCGCCCTCTGCGACCGCGCAACCCTCTCGAGCCAATCCGGCAAGATCGTACAAATCTTCCGCGATGCCGTCTACGCCGCGCAGATCCCCGACGACACGCACTACAACGACGGCGACCACATTCTCTGCATCAGCCAGACGGAAAGTCTGACCATCTCCGCCGGCGTAGAGGGGGGCGCGAAAGGGGTGACTGGGAGCTTTTCGCTGAGCGGAAGCTTGGCGGTTGGGGCGGGCGGAATTTGTAAGTCCCATCATGAATCAAATCTCCATTCTTTTATCTGCTTGTTGTGGTGCTGCAGTCGGCTTGCTGATCGGGTATTCGGCATGTAGGTCTGTTTCCTCAAGGCACCCAGAGCGGTCTTGCGCTTTCCGAGATCCGCACTTTGGCTGATAAGGTGTTGGAGCATGGATGCTCCACGTGTGGGAGTGTGCCTAGGGATTGGGAACAGAATGACCCGAAAGACGGCATTCTGACGTTCAATTATGTGGAGAATCCGTTCTGTGATGGTAACTGCATCTCGGATACTGGGAACTCGAAGGGGAACCCGACGTCGACTGGCCAGCAGAAGTTGAGGAGGTCGGCTAAGTTTGGGTTGATTGATTGAATAGTGAAGTCACGATAGGCGTTGGACCCTAAGCATTGATACTGTGTAAGCATGATAAGAGCTTGATGGAAGTGAGAGGCGAGCGGTTGGCTGTGGTCGTCCCTTCTTTCCTTTTTTTTCGGTCAATTACGGTGCTGATGTAGCTAATTTCAAATTTGACATCTCGCGTGCAAATGTGAAACTAACGTCTTCTCTCAATTTGAGCTTTTATATCATAGCTAGGTCATGTCTCTCCAGAAGTTCCATGATGATGAGGTTATCCATCCAAGAGAACAGTCCAATCCTCCGAAACCACGGTTGAATCTGGCTTTTGTTACACGATCGATAGTGCGGGGCCAAGAAGACCTTACCTCTCATCACCATCATCTTCATTCGCGGATTAGACCCCGGGAAACCCCGATACCCAAGTGTTTAGGAGGTTAAGTACTCTAGGCGGGCGGGGGAAGGGTGATCGAATGAATGGGTGAGGGGCTGATAGGCGTCGGGGTGGGGCGATGAGATTGTTAATTGTGGTTGTGTCGCCGGTATCGGCGGTGGAGAGGAAGAAGGTGACTTAAGCTGGAGGGTTTACAACTATTTAGTCTCGACTATCAAATAAACGCCAGTCATTTCGTTTATCCCCTCCCCAACTATTCGCGACGTTCGCGTCCAGCTGACTGGTACATTGGAGATTTTCTAACCCGTCCCAGTCTAAGTATATAGATGTATCGACGGGGTAGACCAATCGAGGATGCTGTGTGTGGTTCATCGAAAGTAAAGACCAGCCTCCATAGGTACTGTCACCAATTTTATAGAAGACTGTACCGTTGCTTGCGTCAATAGACACCAGTTCATTGTTTCCCCCAACCAGCTGCGTGAGGCTATTTTGAGTGTCCTCATTCGGAACGAAAAAGATGCCTCCTTCATCCTGTGAGATACCGTAGCTTGCATGAGCTGTTTGTGGGAAAAGATGCAGGAATTCGCATGCTGTCGCTTGCTCGAACATAATTGGAAGATTGGCGAGTTGATATCCGATTAGCTTGTGCATGATGTCAAGAACCTTGTCTTTGCCCATCGAGCTACCTCGATGGAGGAGAGTGTATGAGCTGCGCTGCTCTCTGCTATACCAAAACACGCCGCACATGCCAGAACTGTCCAGCGTTCCTTTACAGCCAAGATCTTTGGAGTGTTCATTACAGTTCTTTCCCGCCCACGCTGGACATCCTGCTGTAGCATTTTGAAAAAGCGCCTCTGGGTTCAAGCCTGGAAGCAACAGGGCATACCATCCATTCTGAGCTAAGCTCTCCGAAGTGATATATGAGTAGAGCCCGTTCGTCATCGCTCTTCGTCCATCTTCTGTCACACTTGGGCTTCTGACATCGAGAAAGCGGCCATCATCCGTGAAGGCAAGGAATGAGTCCGGTGCTGTGATGCTTTCTGAAGGCAATCCCAAGACAGGATCGTTCGCCATTGCATCCAGTCCTTGAATCACTGTCAGCGTCTGATTGATATTCCTGCGCTATGTCACCGCTACGGAGTCATCGTCTGTAAAGACTTTGGCGTTCAGGGCGGCATTTTGCACCGGTATCGTAGATGGATCACCTGCAGGCCACTCATTGGCTACGAGTCCTGGGACTGCTTGAGCAACATTCTTGCCAGAGTTGGCTGCGCTAAGGACTTTGCCAAATTTTTGGCCTGCGGGACGAGTTTCTGGTATGAATTGAATCACGACAGTCAAGATCCCAACAATGACATCTTTGAAAAAATTGAACTTGTGATCAGGGGCTTGGTCAATAATCTCCGTGATCGATCTAATACTGGAACCGGCCTGACTGAGCTCAATATCCACAGTTTGGAACACGTTATTGAAATAATACCATCCCCTTCCACTTGGTTAGCCAGCTATCATCAGTCTTGAATAACGGTATCATTACCATAGATAGAAATGCTCACAAGCTTATACCGTGCATACAGTAGTCTACCTTGGCCATCTAAGTCCGATGGAAAAGGTGTTGTAGCAGGATCCTGACAGTGAGGAGCGTCTACGGCCTCACATGCAGAATTTGGTCCGTTCCAAAAGCGCTGAAGAAAAGTCGTTGTCCAAAGGTCTTCTGTCGTACAGCCAGCATTCACGGTGCACGATACCTGCTGCGCCACCCATTTCCTCACCCACGCGGTCAGATTCAACTCTGACCAGCATCTGGATAATAGATCAGCTCTGAGGCAGTCTTCGGATGCTGCTCCGTTATAAAGAGTCTCATCGCCATCTAATACCACACTCGGCAAGTCCGACGGGGTCGTAGCTTGGTTGGCGATACTGATACTATTTGAAGAGCTCGCTGCCGCAGGAGCTGTCGTAGATCCAGAAGAATGAGAACTTCCTCCATTGCTTAGGGCTCCTGGCCAATAAGAATGAGAACCTTCTCCATTGCTTGGGGCTCCTGGCCAATAAGAATGAGAACTTTCTCCATTGCTTAGGGCTCCTGGCCACTACGACGATGTTCAGTCTTTGAGAACTCATCATATCTCGGTGGAGGATTCCAAACATCTAGATGACCGTCGACGCAGATCGTACCCAATGAGACCGCTATCAAACAGGCACTGCCACCCTCGTTGCAATCACCAATCAATTGATGATCTAAGCTACACACACCTTGGCCAGGGTTAGAGCAGCTGACTGTTTGGCTGCAGCCCGGTAAGCCCTGGACGGTTTCTGCTGAGTCGCTTTGTGCGCGACATAGGGTACTTAATCTGAGGAGGACAAGCACCAGAAGTGACCTCTCAAGAGCAAGCATGTTGTCTGGGTGTCAGCTTGACTGAAGTTATGGCTCCGTTTCCAATCTATCACTTATCGTGGGTTTGTGCCAGGACCTTTCATGGAATGGCAGTAGGGAGTCCTTTGTCGTGATTAGACTCACGCTCAGCAGAAGAAAATGTAAGAATGCCGGGATCTTGGCGCTTGTCGATAGACAAAGCACTGGGAACGAGAATCGAAAACCCATTTGACGGTCTGACCTGCAGTTCGATAATCCGAGAGTCTCATAGTCTTGAGGAATAAGAGGCTCTGCTAACGCTTACCAAGTCAGACACAGATTTTGTATCAGGCTGAAGGAATTTAAATAGCGCTGTATTTAAGTCCCTGAGCTCGACTCTGGTAAGCTTGAGCCGCCTAAGGGCTGGATACTCAAAGCGAACAAAATGTTCGGAGCTCTTGAGAATCAATCAAGAGTCACAAATTTTTACGCCAATTACTTTGTATCTGAAAAGCATTGGAAAGAAAGCCGCTGTAGTGGGATGACATAACAGACATGTGGGCAGACTCTTTGCATTTGTGTCGGGCGTCCTAAGCGAGCGAACGAGTATGAGTCTTTGTGAGCATTATTCACAGTCGCGCGCCACAACGCTGCTATAGCGCTCCTGGAGCAGGGACAGTTTCAATAACCTTCAATGACATTCGACCAAGGATTCTCGAAGTACACGATTTATAAGCCAATGTACTCACGTCAAGCGTAGATGGCAACGCAAAACACCAAATAGCGATCAGCGTGCGCACAAGCGCTCATATGCGAAAGGATCTACCCTTTGACATAAATAAGTATAGCTTGAGCATCTGATCATATATCCTACCAACCAATTAGCTAACAAGGTCCTCCGGACCGCGGCAACATGCAACCTTCTATGCGCAATGATTCTTGATTCGTATGGCTTTTCGGCCAGACGGGCAAAATGCGCTCAAGTGGGTCTCACTTGAATAAATAGCCACCGCCTTTCTCCTAGCCTTAGTAAGCGATTCAATGGGGACGTTTGATATGGACAGCGGGCTTAGAGCTCCACAGCATACACGCATGAGTAGGGGTAGGTCTTTCCACCATTTTCTATAACCCCACAATTCGATGTCTGCCATGCAGATAACAGTACGACGGCTACCTTAGGGTCAGCGGTTAATTCTTGCTCAATTGGGCGTACTCGTGCTGCCAGATTAGTCAGCGGGGTAGTGGAAGGAAGAAGGAGCAAGGGGAAGGTTCGACAGGACTTCCTCGCAGCTGCGCTTCCCTCGACGTAAGATCTTGCACACTTTTAATATCAGCTTCTCCTGGATAAATAGGGATATTGGGAAGATTGATGAGTTTGAAAGCCAGTTGCATTCTCCGAGTGTCGTTAAAGTCGAACGCATTGACACTGACGATGATTTCATTTAGCGTCATCAGCTTGTAGCTTTCAGCACTAGCATTACCAACGCCTTAGGTACTCCAAATCACGTGCACGAGAATCAAGATGACCACGCTTGACACTAAACCAGTCTACTTTGTCTGGACAGGACCTTTTCGTTTCTGCATAGGCTGTCGCAAATAATCAGAAGCACAGCCGTCTAGTGGTTGGCAAAGATTCTTCAAACCTGAGAAATGTATCTTCTGATCGGAACAAGGTTGGTCACCTCGAGCTGCGTGGAGGTTCCAACTGGTCACGATCTGATAAAAGGCCAAATGACGAGTATTCTGGTCACAGCCGAGATCGCTATGAGAAACTCGCCAAGCTCTGACCGCTACGAGGAGGCTCCTATCCCAATGCCTATTTGTCTTGACTTAGGCCATTTGATACAAGTCTGATTCGCAAAAGACCTTTGACACGAACGCCTGAAAACTGGCGTCAGATTCTATTTCTGCTACAGGTGACATGAAAGCCAGGTCACTCAACATGATGTTCAGACAGAATTGATAAATTGCATGAGCCACGCTTTGTAGGAGTGGTGGGGGCATAAGGTCAACCAGCCGCAAATGCTCGTGACGCTGGTGCATGAAATTATCTACGTACACTGCCATGCCATTCAGCTACATTGATGACCGATATGAGAATCTCTGGTTCCCAATGCAGATGCTGATACAACAACTAAAGCAAAAAAGACTGGTGTTTCAACCTGCTTCATCAAATAAGCGCTTGCTCATCGACGACGTTTGCTGCAGTCACAAGCTACATTGGCTCACAATAATTCAACACTTTTATTGTATTTTGTCAGCATTGCAACAACTGCGGCGATACTTATCGCCTGATCACTGCCTAGACACGGCTCATCCAACTTGTGTACAACCGAATGTCGCAAAGTGGCATGCCAACACCATGCACGCGCAAGACATATCGAAGTTGGTAAAGAGGAACATCGCCCCTATACTTATCATGAAATAGTTCAAAGTCCATCATCGATGTATTTTTCCTTGAGCTCTCACGTCAAGAAAGATAGGCCAGGTTCTGCACTACGGAAAAGGCAATGCATATATACGACCACATCGTATCACTCTGCGCTTTACGCGCACTTGTCGCAGAATGTGCACCTACACCCTCAAGCAGCGGTTTAGACGTAAACCTCCCTTCCTCGATCACTACAGGCAATATCACCAGCAACTCGACCGTCGCATTGCCGTTTGATCCTGCCCGCCACCCGAAAATCAACTATCGATACAGACCCCTATTACCTGGATATAAACAGCGCTTCCCAATTGGACAGCTTGGCTACGCCTTATTCGACAACATCCACCAAGCATGGCTAAACCGCAATCCGCAGCCCTTAGTACAGAAAAATCTCCAGAACTACTTTTTCCCAAACATCCGCACGAAATTCGCCTTACTTGAAGCCAGCCGCGCAGAAGGATGGACCAGCCAAATTCTGGGCTGGGTGTGCTTGGATACGGTTGCGAGGCTTGTGAAAGAGGGCCAGGCGCAGCCCCAGGCGTCATGGGAACTTCCTACGATGGTGTTGGTGGGGGCAGGGTTGCAGACTTTGGGAGGGCTGGAGATGACTAATGAGCCTGGTCCGTCGAACCAGAGTGCCCCTAAAGAAAGTGGGATGCTCGATGTGTCGCTGCTTGACAGCGATGCCAGACGCGTGCGTGCGCGTGAAGTAGCCAACAGTTCCCAAGACAGTCAGGAAGCGTCCATGAAGAATGGGGGTACCATCGCCGATCCAAAGATAACGTACCTCGGTACTCGACAAGAGTTCACAGTGGTATCGCTCATTGAAGTCATGGATACAGCGCTGCGTAACAATATTTGGAATCTTGATGGTTGGGCTCCAATCTCGCAGAAAAGAAGGCTAGGGGACAAGATCATCATCGGTCCGACAAGTTTAGGAACAATGCTCTCCATAGAGTTTCTCAGTTTCCGCTCGGCCGCGTTAAGAAGAGAGGTCTCCTGGGGTGATGTCTCGGTTGGATTGATGAATCTGGGTGCCCAACTTGTGCAGGACGGCAAGTACGCAGCGTTCAATGCTCAGATATTCAATCAACGGGATGGACATGACGATCCTGGCCCTTACCTTTCGGTGAGTATGTTAGGGAAGGCCCAAGTGGGAGCGCCGGCGAATCAGACGGCAGCGACAGCATAGCAGTGAAGCTACAAGACGATGATCGATCTTGTGCAACCACAAGAGAACTGACCTTTTGTATGAACCGTCTCTGTCACACGCAGCCTTTCATAAGCTTGTCCCATTATCCTACTCCTCCGGATCGTCTAATCTCTTTTACGTGGATTTCTGCGTCTCTCAGATACCTCGTGCATACCATTCCAGGGCATGTCACCTATTCAGTGTGCAAAATGGTAGACTTGCTGTTGAAAAGGACCCCCATACGCCGCGAGTCCGTCAGTGCTGGAAACCTCGAGTCACGCTGACGCCTGTACACAAGCGCGTGCACTTGCATTACGGCACCAACGTCGCTGAATGTGTACTTTGCTAAAATGGCGGTATGACCCTGCCTGGCGGGTGCAGAGTATTACAGACTTACGTACGCTTTGGCTTGAGTATTCCTTTTATCACGCCGACTTGCACCAGCATGCGCACCAACCATCCAGCTATTTCAAGAATCGAACTTGGGTCCGCTGGCGTGATCCGCCATGAAACACACAGACTCACGAGCGTAGGTCTTTTCCAGCAGCGTTTACATTTTCTGTACTCGTCGGGTAGCGAGTAGATGCGTCTCCGATGCGTCAGTATTCTTGAGAGTGACCCTTAGCTGTGGGACTAACTGCCTCTGATTTGGTCACTACGCAGACCATTTCTACTGGCTTGTCCAGACTCTTGGAATTTGCCCCGACGAAGTCGTCCTCTGTTCTGGTCCTGCCGCCAAACTCTTTTCCTTGCCTCCCGTAGGAATTGGAGTCGAAGTAGCCGGAGCCATTGATCCGCGTCGCAGAATGCCTCAGATAGACCGAATTCCACTGGAAACTTACCTTGCCAAGATCCGATACCAGCAAATGCGCACAGTCGATGAAAGAAGCCAAGATTCTTTCCGTCAATCTCAATATTTCAAGTGACTTAGACCACAACTCGATCATGAAATACACCAAAGCATTGAGAAGCAACGAGGAACTCTTGACCTCCAGCGTTTTCAGCTGAACTCCGTTTCTGACCCTCTTGAGTAGTCTCCTTGCTCCGACCCGATTTTCCTGTCGAATCTTTTCCTTCGGACCCGGGAGCACAAATATCTTCCGAGAGAGGACCTCTGCAGAGCGATTCAAGAAATCAACCTCCTGCTTGGTATATACAGCTGTAGAAACAGGCCCAGGACGGTCAGTATCCCCCTCACTTTTGCTTTCATTATTTTCAGCAGCATGATCCTCCTAGTTACCTACGTCAGGCTCAATAGTATTTCTCTCGATCTGACTGCTACCGCTATTTCAGAAAGAAAGCAAGGTCACAAGGGCATGCAACTGCGGTGTGATGTAGCATACATCCTGCCAAGGGGCCAAGTCGGCCATGATCATCATCCGTCGTTGCAAAGAAGATTAACATTGGGAGTTTGAAGGTTGGGTAGACCTCGCCCAGGCGACGCGCCGGGCATCAAGTGTGGCGCTAATTGCCCCTTTCTACATCCACGACAGCATATCGCCGGTTAAGTCCGGAGTGTGCTGAGGTGGTACACCGGGTTTCCGCCCTTGCTTACCATCTTCTATCTCGTACACCAAACGCTCTTGGAGGAGCTCTTCCTTTCTTCTGCAGATCACAATTTTGATGTTCTGTTTTGAAGATGTCTCAATACGATCACGACAAAGCAGTCGCCTCCATAAGCCACCAAGTCCGCCAATTCTTCGATCATCCCGCTCAAAAAGGCTTCCGCGTCTTCCATGGCAGCTCAAACAGCACCAGAGCGCCCCAATACACGCTCTCGAACACGGTCGACATCAGCGCGTTAACCCATATCCTCGAAATCGACCCAGAGAAGATGACTGCAACCGTCGAGCCAAACGTCAAGCTAGGCGCTCTACTAGACGGATCGTTAGAATACAGCCTCATGCCGCCAGTCATGCCTGAGTTGCCCGATATGTCGATTGGTGGGGCGTATTCCGGCCAAGCCGGTCAGAGCAGTTGCTTCAAATGGGGCATCTTCGACCAGACTGTTCAAGCCATCGAGATGATCCTTGCCGACGGCTCTATCAGAACGTCGTCAAGATCTCGCGAGCCAGAGCTTCTCGAACATGCAGCCGGAGCCTTTGGGACGCTCGGTATTGTGACCAAGCTCGTCGTTACTTTAGTACCAGCGCCGAAGTTCGTGGAGCTGACCTACCACACCATCAGCTCCATGCAGGACGCCTCCACGAAAAGTATGGAGTTCACACAAGACGAGAATGTAGATTACATAGACGGCATAATGTTCGCCTCTACCAGCGGCGTCATCATGACGGGCAAGAACGCACCCTCCGCCCCCCAAGGCCAGGTACCCCAAACCTTCACCAACCGCGGCGACCCCTGGTTCTACATGCACGCGCAGGCCCAACACAACCCCTCCACTCACCGCCCCTCCCAGGAGCCTCCTGTCGTCTATATCCCCTTAATGGACTATCTCTTCCGCTACCACCGCGGCGGCTTCTGGGTCGGGCATTACGCCTTCTCCTACTTCCACGTCCCCAACAACCGCCTGACGCGCTACCTCCTCGACAACTGCATGAGAACCAAAGCCATAATCCACGCCTTCCACGAGTCGCCCACGCTGGCGGGGAAATATGTAGTGCAAGACATGGCGGTGCGTCCAGAGCAGCTCGCGGACTTCAACGAACAGATTGATGGGATTTTTGGAGCGATGTGGCCCCGCTATCTCTGCCCGCTCAAGGGCTTGCAGGAGCCGAGGTGGGGCTTGCAGCCTAGATTGCCAGAGGATGTGGTGGGTGGGGGGAGGGAGAGTGTGATGGCTATTGCAACGGGGCTGTATGGCGGGCCGAGGAAGCGCGAGGAGTTTTTGGGGGAGAATGTGAGGATGGAGAGGGTTTTGGGGGAGATGGGTGGGGTGAAAGGATTGTATGCGCAGTTTTATGGGAGTGAGGAGGAGTTTTGGGGGATGTGGAATCGGGAGTATTATCAGGGGGTGAGGAAGAGCTATGGGGCGGAGAGTCTGCCTGATGTGTATGAGAAGGTTAAGTGGAAGGCGCCGAGGGAGGTGAGGAGGTGGAGGCATTTTGATTGTGTTGATGGGTTGATAGGGGTTACCAAGTGGATCCGTGGGAGTGACTGGATGAGAGGTGGGAGGTGAGGAGGTGTCAATGATCGATAATGCGGCAACCTTCATAATAAATGAAGGCTCAGATGATGCTTGGAGAGTGAGGCAAGAACATGCAGTGATCTGGATAAGATTTACATCTTTTGAGCCTAGAAACAACCCCTTTTTTTTAGTGCGCAACTAGAATAGGACTTATCTGTTTCTTTGGCGGTTTCTGGCAATGGATCATAGACTGGAAAGTCTGCGTATATGTATAGCGGTGTGCTTTGCTCTGCGAGTCATTCTCGCCGCGTTCGGTGGCTCGTAGGTTCGAGTTGCAATCTGTTTGCATAACCATAGTGCAAATGAGTCCCGCCTCTTCATACCTCATCTTTCGGTATTTCCACATCTGCACACAGCATTCAATCAAGACTATCAAGCACAAGGCTGAAGATGACCCCCGCACGTTCTGCATATGTACCCAAGAATTGACCCCACGTGTGCTGCATGTGCTGCATGTGGGCCCGAAGATCGACCACAACCTTCTCACCAGCAATTCCGACACAAGATCACGAGAGACGGGCCAGAACAATCTAGGCGACGGCGATCTTACTTTGGCCATGAGCTATCTTCCAATGATAGAGCCTTTTGCAAGTCATGCCCATGCGCATATCTATGCAGGGTCCTGAACAGCGTATTAGACGATCCTTGCCCCTCTTTCTGCCCCACCTTCTGCCACTCCTTCTAGTGGTCCAGAATAATCCCCCGAATGTCCAGAACAATCTTACAGTCTATAAAGACCAGTGCGTAATCCTCTTTTTCAGGTCTTCATTAATTCTTCATTTCAAACCCAGACTCTTGAGAACATTTTCCGAATACATCATTAGGACTTTACTCAATTCGGTCTAGAGCTCTGCAGTGCTTCACAGCCTCAGGTTCTCACTCCTCGCGACTCCTCCATCGCGAATACAACCTCAGCAATAAGGCTAATGGATCATCTCCGTGACCGAAAGGGCAGTCATAACCCAGAGGATCCCCATGGAGGGGGAAATCACCAAAGAAAACGTAGGCATTTCTTATCTCTTCTCTTCACCTCCCCAGCTAATCCACCTATTAATATGTTGTCGATCTCAGACTCTTGAGGTCACTTTTCCTTCTGCTTCAACATTTCAAGGCGCTCTCTTACTCAATATAATATCGCACACGCCGCGTTACTGGAGAAAGAACATGCAATAACAAAAGACTTGGAATTACATGCGAGAGAGTTCACCCGCTGACGGTGTTTTCTCCACTAGTGACCCTAAAACGACGGATTGGGGATTCCTCTAGGCGGACGTTGTAATGGGTAACGGTGCTTAGTGTAAGGTGATCTTGTATTGAGGTCCTATTGGATTCAGAGGCGGTCCAGATTACACACAAAATGGAGATGTTGATTTAAACTTTAATCTTTTTGGGGAGTGCTTAGATGGTACCCTAGCCCTTGCACTCGTTGCCTAGTAATAAGAATGGATATTCTTCAGCGACCAAGTCTCGGCGGCATAACTATGAGCTCATTCTAGTCGCAAACCTATCCTAGAACGGGTTGCGCACCAAGCCGCAGTCAGCTATATATGAACACATGCAGGGTCTTTCAGCGCACCTAGCTTCTCTTCCCACTAGTTGAATCAGCGATGCCATCGATACTATGTAGTCTTTTTTGTTTTCTTGTGGCGCGGAGCCACAATTAATGCGCGGTGGATTTCCTTCAACATAACCCCTTCTATAATATAAAGCCTTAATAATTGTTACTCATTCTCCTACGCTAATACCCCTTCTCCCATTTGCGTCTTTATTGCTCCTAATAGTATAGATCCATTGAATAGGACCCCTATTAGGTTTATATAAATAGCTAATAAGTTAGATCTACTAAGTTATAATATTAATAGGTATTATAATCTAGATTATATCCGTCCTAATTATATAGAAATAATAGTATTAAAGGCTTAGTAAGTATTATAAACTACTTTTATATAATGATAAATATATTTAAATTAAAAGGTTAATATATAATAACTTTTATTAAGTATATAAATAAGATTTTTATTTAAGATAAAGCTAGTTCTTTATCTTAATTTTCCTTATCTTATCTAAGCCTTAGAAGTTAATTTTTACTTTTAAATAAATTTTTAATATTAAAACTAAGATTATTATTATTATTATAATATTTAGGTAATAATATTATAAAATTAAACTTTATTAAAAGTTAAATAATTATTAATTTCTATTCTTAACCTTAGTTATAACTATATAGCTAAATAAAGAAATAATAAAAATTAATTTTTATATATTTAAAGAAAAATATATAAATAAATAATAATTATATTTAAAAAAAATAATAACTAAATAATAAACTTAAGTAAAAGTAGATAATATTTCTAAGCTTATTATATATAATATATTATAATAAAAAATAATAATTAAATAAGTAAAGAAATTAATTAAAAAAGTAATCTCTAGAAAGTAAAAAAGTAATATTAATTATAAATAAGTATATAAGATATGATAATTAAATAAAAAGAGATTAACAAAGTTTTTTATTAAAGTTTATTATAAAGGGAATTAAAATAACTTAATATTTAAAATATTAATTTATTTAAATAATAAAATTATTATATTAAAAAATTATTTTAAAATATAAAAAGTTTTTAAAAATAATTATATAAAATAAATTTCTTTTTGATAAATTTAAAAAGGTAATATATAATATTAATAAAATTAATAAATATTTTAAAAAAGTATAGAAAAAGCTAAAAGATATAAACTAAGAAATTAAGAAATTATAAATTTTTATTTAAAAATAAAAAGAAATTTTAAAACTATAATTAAATACTTATTAAGAAACTATAGCTAAATATAAGCCTAAGTATTGTTATAATGTTATATAATAAGTATAACTAGATAACTCTTATAAGATAGAGACTATAGCTATATTAAGTTATAAAAAGAATAACTAAAGGGAGAAATAAATAGCTAAAGTACTTAAATACACTTAAGTGCTAAGAGTACTAAGTAACCTCTAAATTAAGTATACTTAAGATAATCAAAGGTTAAGTACTATTAAGTAGGTTAAGTAAAGTTATATATATAAAATCCCTTATTCCTCTCCTTAAATAAATTTCTTTATATTTAATATAAGTTTTATTTTTTAATATAAAATCTAAAATAGTTATAACTTAATTTTATTTTATTATTTTATTTTTATTTATTTTTTAATTACTATTTATATTCTAAGAGAATTAACTTATATATTTATAATTAAATTAGTTAATATTTATTAATTTAAATATTAAAGTTATAATATATTAAATACTTTTAAAATAAATATAATTAAATTTATTATAAGTAAGTAATACTCTTAGTAAAAATATATAATATATTAATTAACTACTATTAAAAAAAATAAAATTAAACTTTTAAAACTTAACTTTTTTTATAGGGAAAAAAATAAGCTTAATAACTAGTTATTCTAGTTAAATCTCTATTTTAAATTAATATTTAATATTAAAAGTAAAATTAAAGTAGCTTTTATAATAATATATATAAAAGGTAAAATATTATTATAAATTAATTTAGACTTTAGAAAATATATAAATAAAATGATTAATATAGAAACCTATTAATAGATTAAAAATTATTCTAAATTTAAGAAATAAATCTAATAAGTATTTAAACTTACTAATAAAGAATAATATACTAAATTAGTAATATAATAACTATAATAAATTAAAAAAGTAGCTAATTATACAATTATTTTCTAGTATTATATAATAATAATAAAATAAAATAATAAAGCTTAAATATTTATATTTAAATAAAAACTAAGAAATAATATTTAAAATAAACTTATATACTATTATACTTTAGACTAGTATAGGTTAACCTAGTAAATTAACCTAAACTAGTAAGATTAGGTTAAATTATTAAGTTAAGTTATAAAGGCTTTAACTTAACTTAACTAAGATTAAATTAGGTTTAAAAACTTAATAGTTTAACCTAGTAGCAAATCTATATATAAAAAAGTCTAATAAAATCTACTAGGTATATATATAATTTAATATAATATTTTAGCTACTTATTTATTTATATTTATTTTTTAAAAAGACTAAACCTTTATATAATTTATATTTAAGATTTTAAAGGATTTAGAAAATTTAGAGAATTTAGAGGATAAAAAGCTTAAAGCTTTATAAGTATTTATAGTAAAGATAGCTTTTTAAATAAATCCTAGGTCTAATTATTATTATAGTTATTATTATTTAATTTATTAAAGTTATACTTATCTTAGGGTTAGGAAATTCTATTAATATATTTATTGCTTATACCTAGCTTATATTATAAGATTTAGCTTAACTTCTATTGAGGTAATTTATTATACTTTTTTATAATTTTATATAATTAGTTTTATATAATTCTTAATTATAGTTATTATATTTCCTTTTTTTATAAATTCTAACTTATTAGGACTATGCCTTTTTATATAATCTTAAGTAATCCTTACTAAATATTTAATTCTTTTAATTATATTAGTTATAGATAGTTTTTAAAACATTTAGCTAATTAATATACTTATTTCCCTTTTTTTCTTTTAATTTTTTATTTATTTATTTTTCTATTTTTCTTATTAAAGTCCTTAGTTTAATTCTAGCTATAAGTTTTTATTTTCTTTATTAAAAAGCTTTTTTATTTATTTAAACTTTTTCTTTATTATTTTAAATAAGTATTAAGAATTTTACCTTATTAGTATATTTATAAGAATTTATATAATTTGCCTCCTAGATATAGTATCTTTTTTTAATATTTATTAAATTTTAAATTAAAAAATTCTAGTTTATTTTTCCCCCCTTTATAGCTATTAGCCCTCTATAGGATAAAAAGTTCTAAATTTTATTTAAAGCTAAAAATTTTTTTATTAGTTTTATTCTTTATAAAATATTAGTATTTTATTTTACTTTTTATTATACTTAAGTTTTAAAATTGCTCTTTTTTTAAATTAAATTTTTTAAAGCTATTTAAAG